TGGTATAAGATGGTATCTTGTAGTTTTTATTCACGTTTCCCTCATAATTAGTGATGTTGAACATCTTCTCATATCCTTTTGGCTATTTGGATGTCTTCTTTTCAGAAATGTCTATTCATGTCTTTTGGATTATGTGTAGCATGGTATATTAGAAAAATCATGGTCTTTAACATTAAACCTAAATTTGCCAGCAGTGACTAGGTTGGGCAAGTTATTTAACTGCTTAGACATTCAGCTTCTCCTGTGTAAAATGGAGCTTTAAGAATCTGAAGGGCATCCAGGTGCCTTATATACTGCTGTGGGTATGCTGTAAATTTTAATTTCCTTATCCTAATTTACTCCTAACTGCTTAAAAGAATGTCTTGTTGTGGAAAATAAGATCCAGCCTAGAGGATAAACCAGTTAGACAAATACGTGTTCGAACCACCCTATTAGAAGACCCTGTTTCTGTCAAGTAGCTTAGATGCCAGTGGGAAATCCATATCCCTTTTGCATGGTATCATTACCTCTTCTGGATTATTATTCTGCAGACCTGTTCCCTAAGCAGAAAAACAGTATCACTTCAGCATCTCTTTGAAAATCTCTCACTCACAGAATGAACTGCTGCAATAGAAAAATACTGCAAGCTAGTGAAGAAACAGCCTGTGATTTTGAATCATTTCTCCTGTAAGTCTTGGCCTTTTTCTTTTAACAGGTGGTTCCATCAAGGTCCTAATCCCTATAATGGAGCACAGGACTGGATTTACTCTGGCAGCTACTGGGACAGAAACTACTTCAATTTGCCTGACATTTATTAAAATGGATATAAGTCAGGGTGTTTGGCTAATCTATAAATAAGTCTTAAACCTATGTTTTTAAATTTTTTCCCTTGGTTTCTACTTATCTTTAAAAAGAAAAAAACACCCATAACTGCATTTCACCCAACAAAAGTAGGGTATAAGGTGATAATGGTGATGAAAGTCTTAGGAAAAATGCATAATTTTGCTACAAAATGTACTTATTTGGAATACTATTTTATATAGAAGTAAAAGAAAACTGCTGGGGAATATGCTTTTTATGTTTGCTGTTGCCATATTTACTGAAGGTTTATACCTAAATGTAACTTTAGCTTTATGGAACTATATAGTAATCCCAAATCAAGTTATTTTGAATATTTTTATGCTGTCATGCTTGAATGTTTTAGATGTAACCTTTGACATATTTAGAACTCTCCTCCTAGACAATGTTTATGTGCTCAAATGTAGAGGTTATGTCATTTTGTGAAGACTCCATTGATTAAGATGGCTTTTATTCATACTAATCCTCCCAATTTTACTCCTTCCATCTTCCAAGAAAAAAAGATGCCTGAATATTCAGAACAGGTATTTCTGATTTGAAAATAATTCTAAAGAATTAAACTGGAAAAGTATTTCGTTTACTTAGCTCTGAATTTACTTTTACAGTTTTCTGCAATCAGTATCATTAAAATGTTTAATTTTACATTTGAACTGAAAATATGTATAAAATCTAGCAATTCACAAAAATGCCCTAGAAATACAGATTTTAATCACCATTACATAATGATAAACCTTGTTAAATGCTTCCATTTCCAGTGGCAAATGCCACTAGAGAAATTAAGTTGCACTCATGTAAGTATCAAACTATATAAAAGGAGGTCTTGTGCATTTCAAGTTTGCAAGGTACCTGTGTACTTAAAATGTGTGTGGAGACCTACTGTATGGTAGCTTTGCCCCATTAATTGGGGTACATTAATCTTAAATCTTACAGTATTTATCCACCCAAACCCCAGACTGAGATATTGCTCCCAGGGGCCTTAGATAGCTGCCAGTACATGATTTTAATTGCTGTCTTGAAGTTAACAAGTGTTATAATGAAATAATCTACCTGATGCTAAATAAAGGCTTTAGAATGTTCCCCCAAATTGTGGTTTCTTTTAAATATACTAAATTGCCACTTAATATGTTAGAAGTGTCCTTTCAAAGAAAGAAGTCCTTGTGGTACCATAGCTCCAAAAGCCAAGGAGATAACTAGTACCTGGCGTACATAGTGGTAAGTAGGTATTTAGCATTCAGTTAAACTTGGTCACTACCATATTAATTCGGTGTGAATCCCAAATGCAGAAGTGGAAATGCCTGGCTAGAAAATTCGTTACTAGATCTGTTAGAGCGGGAATGGTTTAAACGTATATATACATAGAAATTGGAAAATGATACTGCTTTATAGGTCTGAAAAGATGAACTTTTGTGTTTGGTTGGTTGCTTGTAGCCCTTGTAAATTACACAAATAAGCAATACAAAATTGTATGCTTGCATGAAGTTTATTGATACGTTACACTTGGTGGCAGACTCCTCCCTGAATGTTGACCCTTCAAACAGCGTCATTGCTGGATCTGTGAGGAATAATGCAAATTGTTTAAAGTTAAACATGCAACTGAACATGTGAAATGAGAAGATGAGAAATGCAAGGTCTACCCTCCTGTTACTAAGCTTAACTAGTTACCTATGGGCTTTTGCACTACAATATCCTAGCAATTTCATGCTGAAAACAGCCATTTTGGCAATTCCACTAGAAGTCCATAAAGAGTTTAAATAAGCATGCACGTAGCCCTCAGATAGTTTGTCTTTCCTTAAATATAGTAACTGGTCCTTGAGCCTGCTAATGAATGAAATGTAGCTTTTGTCCATCTCTCAGATGTTCAACTTAAAATTCCCACAAATTAAGAGGTATATAACACTTCTGTACTTTCAACTCATCTCCCCTACTTCCTCTGTTGACCTTCCCCTTACTGCTAGCTAATCTTTTTCTACATAGCAATCTGAGGGATCTAATAAAAACAGGAATCTGATTTTATCATCAGTCATTCTTCTGCTTAAAACACTTGTGCTGGCTTCCCATTGAACATTCAATCAAAATCTTCATCTTATGCAATCTCCCCATCCCCTCCCAGCCAGTCTCACCGTGGCCTACTTTGCTGTCTCTGGAATCCCCGTGGTTCTTTCCTGCCCTAGGACACAACCTGGACGTACCCTGCAAAGCTGGCTCCTTCTCCTGCTTGGGTGTCAGTTTGTATCTGAGCCTGAACACCCTATCTATCTAATAGTGACACTTAAAGGCAGGCCTGTGTTAGTACCTTGTTTTCTCCATAATACATGTTGTAATATACTTTTCTGTCTCCCCCATTAAGATGTAGGTTCCATGTTTTGCTTACTCTACTGTCCACACATAGGGGAGGAGAGCTAGCATAGGACTTGGCATTAAGTATAAATGAAAAACTTAAAAATGACTTGTGAGTGATCAAGCAGTCTCATCCACAGTTAATCTCAGCTGTTATTTAGCTCTTTACTCTGCTTCTCACCTGTCCATCTACTGTCTCTTACCACATGAATTAAGTGCTCTGTTACATAATCAAGACTTCTCTCTTACCTTGCTCTTCAGTTTTTTCCAGCTCCTCCCTAAACATACCAACTAAATCGTCCTGTTTTAAAAATCCGTCCCCTTTTCGCATCTACCACTGTGTTAGACAATGGACTAGGTATTCAAAGGCGACTGAGTTCATTAGTTTAATGGGCATCAAATCCTTGGTGCAAGTCATTGTGGTACCGTGCATCTGCTGTGCATTTATTAGTAACTGGTGGTTAGGAAGTTAGACAGTAACCCCAGGAAATTAGAGTATACCCCAATTTATTACATATTATCTTAAATTGTTTTTAGCTATCTAAATCTCCAGGTCAAAACATGAGTTTTTTCCTACCTAGATGTTATGGTAGGAAAGTGTACCTACCAGTTTTCACTGTCTGCTTTGCGAACTTTGTGAGCAGTAGCCACAGTTATCTCCCCAGCAATACCGTAACTTCCAAAGGGAGCACATTTGTCACCAGATCCTGAACTTTTTTTAGCTACATCTTCTACTGGGAAAGCAACAGAAAGAAAAACAGGGCTTTTTGGCTTGGGGACATCTTGTCCACTTGGAGGATTAGCATTGTGGGGACTTAGAGTATGTTTCTGGAATTTCCCATCTGCAGAAACAGCAATGGGCACTTGCACTGCAGCATATCTCTTCAAGACATCTGACTGCGAAACAACAGCATGCCCAGGAAGAGGTTCCCATTCCTGTGCTTTCTGAACATTTGAGCCTACTAAGATAAAAGGTGGGGCACTGATCTTCTTTGTGTCGTCCATCACATAAATTGGAGAAGTGACTGTTGGTGGATGCTGCAGAAACTGCGGATCCTTAGGATTAGATATGTAGAGGGTTGCTTGGGGGAAAGGCCCAGGTGCAGGTGGCAGTGATGAGTGACTTTGTTGATTCTTATCAGTTAGACAATAAAGGGTTCACATGTTGGAATATGGTGGTGGCTGTTCTGGTTCACTTGCTGCCATTGCTAACATCTGAGCAGCAAACTGAGCTGGGTCAGCTGGGACATAGGCAAACTCTGGTGAGACAGATGTTGGAGGCGGTGAGGAGGGTGGGCTGGTAGTCTTAGGGGTAGCTGCTTTGGAAGAAGAATCATGAACTGCTTCAGTTTGCTCAGCACCTAGCTCAGCAGAAGTTAATGATGGAAACTGGGTGGTTTTGTCATTATATCCTGTTCCGGTTACATTGTCCTCCTCTGTGTCTGTAGATTTTTCCATCCGTGTAGGTACTTTAGATTCTACAGATGTTTTTTCCAGTTCTTTTAAACATTCTACTTTCTTCGGTCGTGTTGATTCTTCTGACCACTTCTGTACTTTAGTCTGATGAAATTGTTTAACCAGATCCTTTATATCCAGAGAAGTATTCCCTTCTCTATACATAGTAAGTTCTTTAAAATAAACTACTGCGAACTGGTTGATGTTTGATGGGTTGCTTTTGATAGTGGCTCTGCTAATTCCTTCGAGTAGAGTCTTGAGGCCATAGGGTATGCCAAATCTGGACGTTGAAGAAATCATTTTGGCAGGATGTCTGTAACTCAACTTTACGGCTGCGTTCCTAAGAGCTTCCTTGTTACCCGCTTGCGGGCGGCTCCTGACAGCATGCAGAGTAAGTTAGGAACAACAAAGGCCCTGTGGGAACAGCGGGCTCCAGCCAGGCTCTCCTCGCAGCCTCCCAGGAGACCTGGGGCTTGGGGCAGCTGCTTCCCCACCCAGCACAGCAGTGGAAGGGCCCTGGAGCCCCCACAGAAAGGACTGACCCAGCCTCAGGAGGTGAGAGATGGCTCATCCAACTCCACCCTGGAGTGTGGCCAGAAGGAACAGAGAAAATGGCTGTCCCAGCCTAGGGAGGCAGCCACTGGGAAGTCGGTCAGGTCCGGCGGCAGCGCTTCCTCTGGCAGGGCCGGGGCTCGGGACTGCTGGGGCGGGCCGATGCTGCCGCCTGGGGATCGGGCGCTGGAGCCTTGTGGCGGCTGCAGCTCATGCTCAGGACCCAGCCCAGCTTGTTGTGCAGCACCTGCTTGAGGCCTGGCGGCAGGGGCAGGCCTCCCAGCGTGTCCCCCGAGTCCGGCCGCAGCTGGCGAAGGCGGTGGCAGCAGAGGTACTGGAGAGAGGTGGCGCTGGCGCAGGAGCGAGTGACCTTCATGCTGCTGCGTGCCGCGGTGGAGCACACCATCGGGTAGAACCTCTTGTTCTGCAGCTTGGTGGCTGCCACGCCTATGCACTTCCTGTTCTTGAAGAAGGTCAGTGTCCCGTGCCAGGTATCCAGGTGCACGCCAATGATAGAGCCCTGGCCGAACCTTGAGGACAAGCTGGTCTTGTCGCCCTTGTGGTGGAGGAGGCCCATGTAGGACAGGCCCCAGCTGTCCTCGTCCCTGCCCAGCAGGCTGTAGAACGTGTGGCGGTATTTGTCCAGGTCCACATCCGACGTCCCAATGCCCACCATCATGTCGGTGCCGTAGACGGGCGAGGTCATCTTGATCTCCCAGAAGTGCTGGCCCTCCCCAAGCTCCTTGGTGCCCCGGATGGCCGCTGTGCCGCAGCTGACCATATGGAAGCTGACCTTGCGGTTGTCACAGCTCAGCAGGGTGGCTGATGACTTATTCAGGACATCCTACACCCAGTCGAAATACTCGTCTTCCTCTCCACAGCGGCAGTCTTTGCCCCTGTGGGCTGAGTGCAGGCTGCTACAGAAGGAAGCCTCGCTCTGCCCGGCACAGTCACAGAACGAGTCGCCGGTCACGGGCACCGCGCTGGGGATCGATGGCGGCAGCGTGGAGTACTCGGGGTCTGAGTCCGAGTCGCTGTGCTGCCCATCAGAGTCGTAGCCCCAGTTAGGGGAGCCTGCCAGAGCCACGGCCCGGGCCTCTGCGTCTCGGCGGGCTGCATTCAGGACAAAGTGCCAGATCCTGCTGCTCCGGGGGCGTCTGGCCATGGTGGAGAAAATCTGCAGCTCCAGTCTCGCGCTCCGCCGGGGAGCTTGTACGTGAAGTGCCCGTCAATTGCTGCAGCTATTGCTGCTGTCAATGCATTGCATGGCAGGTGGTTTGCTGGTAAAATGATAACAGCAGCATATGTACCTCTTTTTTTTTTTTTCTGAAAAGGCAAAAATAGAGAGAAAAATAATTTACAAAATAAACCCATCTTCAATTGCAAGGTATGGTACAGCCATCTATTCAGTCAACATCAAAGAAAGATACAGCGAAACACAGAGATGTTTAAAATTTTCATTTGAAAGTAAATATTTGAGGTAAAAATAATGCTTCATCTTATAATACATCAAATGAAGCCAAAAAAGACTAGAGGATTCACAGACTAGCAAACATTTCA